GTCTAAAAAAATTAGTGAGAGAAACAGTAGCCTCCATTTTATAGATAAGGAGTGAGGCTTAGGAAGAATAAAGCCCAGGTTCACAGACCTGGTAAGGGCAGAGCTGAAACATTTTCAAATACATCCCTCTGGCACTGCCTTTTTACATTAGAATTCTACTTTTCATAGAGGAAGAAAAGTCAGTAGGCTAATGATCCAAAATAAGTGAATCTTGTCTAATAGCCATGTTCATACTCCGGACTTCAGGCACCTAAGAAAAAGAAATAGGCAGAGAAAGGTGACATAGAGCAGAATGAGTTCATGATCAAAGTCTCTGCTATTTCCTGCTGAGAGTATGAGATTTACTGCTGTCTCCCCAGGGGAAAGCCAGATCGTTATTTCATACTTGTGGAAAAGAACTACTGACACCAAGAGATGCTGCTCATTCTGTTCTTAGTTTTCCAACTTCAACCATAATCACAGGCAGGAAAGAAGTGGCCACAGATGAGAATGAGATTACTTTTCACATAAAATTGGATCAAGGAGTCCTGCTTCCTTCTTTGAAGTATTCCTTAAAAAAAATGCACACTTTCCTATTGAGGATCTTACAAATTATTGCTTTTAATGTATCTTGCAACATAAAATGCACTGTGGTTGAACTCCAAACTTGTGTCATGCCTTGGTGAGTATTTTATGAATTGTAAAATTGGAAAGTAAGTTAAGATACAAAAGTGGCTGCTGGCTCCTCCATCTGATAAATCTCATTTGGGATTAGTATGTAATATCCCTTTTAAGACCTCTTTCATTTCTTTTTTATGGAGTTTAACTGGATACCAATAAAAATGAGGAAATTCTATTCATGTATCTTTGCTTCTTCTTTGTTAACTGTATTACTTAGCTGTGCAAATTTTTTTTTCTTCTAAATGATCACAGGTTTTCTGAAATGTCAGCATCAGATTTAACTGTGTTTCTAGTCTTCAGACATTGCACCATGACTGATACTCTGTTGTAAATATACATTTAAAAATAGATGTTAACCAGGGGATGATAAGCTTCTGAAATGGCAGAATGACAACCTTGATGAACCCACTTTCCCTCTGAAACAACAAAAATACAAGCAAAACAACTAAAATAAGTCATTTTAGAACTTTGGCAATTCACCAAAGCCACAGAATAAATCAAAAAATTTCTATACAAGACAAAGTCCTGAACTTTGGTGAGAGACAAGGTCTGTGATGCTTGAATTCGAAACTATTCTCATCTCCTCACTCCCTCCCCAGTTTAGTAATATAGTAGGCAAAAGCCAGCAGTATTGCAGAAAATGACAAAATTGGATGGCTTTTGGAGCTCCATTAAAAGTACTGTCCCCTGTGCAGAGTCAATATTTTGTCTGATTTTTCAGCTTCCTGGAAAATTTCTATGCTTAGGTAGCCATCTGAATGACTAAGCGCTTAGTTCAGTGGGAGGTGGAGAAATCTGATACCAGAGTGATCACAAACAACTCTATTTGTAACAAAGAGGAGATATAAAGTCAGGAAGAAAAGGGAAAGTGAACCTACTAGACAGGAGAAGAAAAAGCAACCAACAGAAAATGTCCCTAGGTGGGGGTGGAGGGGCAGATTTTAGTAGGATTTAGTAGACGAAGATTTTCAATAAACTATTATAAATATATTCAAAGAACGATAGGAAACCATGTACAATGAATTAGAGGAAAGCGTGAAAATGATGCTAGTAAGGGTTATAACTGCCTGGGTATTATGAAAGGCAGTATACATGCATTTTTGTTTGTAATTCCTCTTCAGTCCGTTTTAAATTTACAACTACATAACAATAAATACAAAACCGTGTTGATTGGCTTTTAATATATATAGATGTATATCTGTACAAAGGAGGGAGAGGGAGTAGGAGTATTTTAGAGAAGTCTTTGCATATTATTCAAATTAAGTTAACATTAATCAACTAGATTATTTAAAAATAAGGTGCTAATCACAATTTCCAGAGCAACTGCTACAAAAAATAAATATGTGAAACAAACAAGGCAATTAAAAAGATACACTAGAAAATATATATTTAACAAAAGTAGATGACAACAATCAAGGAATCTAGAAAAAAAGGCACAAGACATAGGAAAAGAATTAGCAAAAGGACAGATATAAATCCTGCCTTATCAGCAATTGCATTAAATATAAATGGATTAAACATCTCAATGATCCAATCGTCAATGCACAGGATGCATGCTTGATTCAAAGACACAAATACATCCAAGGAAAAAGATGGAAAAATTTACATGAAAGGGGTAATTAAAAGAGAGCCGCAATACTTCTACTAAAATCAAGCAAAATAGACTCAAAGGTAAAAATCATTACTTTAGATAAAGACATTTTATTTTATGTTAAGAAGTATAATCCATCAGGAAGATATGCAATTGAAAACATATATGCTCCTGTAAACAGAGCTCAGAAACACATGAGGCAAAGAAAATGATGTAATTTAAGGGAGAAATAGACACTTCAACAATAATAACTGGAACGTCAATGCCTGACTTTCAATAATGGATGGGATAATTAGGCAGCAGGTTAACAAAGAAATAAAAGGCATGAACAATACTCTAAATTGAGTAGACATGATATTTATAGAACACTACAGCCAATAGCAGGACACACATTCTTCCCAAGCACTCATAAAACAAAATCTAGGATACACCTTATGTTAGGCCATTGGATAAACTTCAATAAACTTAAACGGACTGAAATACAAAGTATGTTCTTTGACCACAAAGGAATGAAATTATAAGTCAACAGCAGCAGAAAATTTGAGAAACTCACAAACATGTAGAAAATATACCCTTTCCTAAATAATTATGGATGCAAAGAAGAACTTACAAAGGAAATTAGAAAACACTAGGAAAAGATTAAAACAAAACACATGTCAAAATTTATGGTATGTTGCAAAAGCAATATTTAGAGGGAGATTTATAGCTGTAAATGATCACATTAAAGACAAAAGACAAATTCAGTAACCTGAACTCCACCTTAAGAATCTAGAGAAAAAAAAAAAAAAAAAAGAATCTAGAGATATGGGACACCTGGGTAGCTCAGCAGTTGAGCTTCAGCCCAGGGCATGATCCTGGAGTCCCTGGATCAAATCCCACATTCAGCTCCCTGCATGGAGCCTGCTTCTCTTTCTGCCTAAGTCTCTGCCTCTCTCTGTGTGTGTCTCTCATGAATAAATAAAATCTTAAAAAAAAAGAATCTAGAGATAGAAGAACAAACTAAACCGAAAGCAAGCAGAAGGAAAGAATAAAGTTTAGAGCAGAAATTGAAGAAACAAAGAAGGGGAAAACAGTAGAAAATCAATGACACCAAAAACGATTCTTTGAAAAGATAAATGAAATTGACAAATTTAGCTAGCTTGATCATGAGGAGATGGAGGATTCAAATTACAAAAGTCAGCAATGAAGGAGGGAACATCGCCACTGGTCTTATAGAAATAAATAGTATAGAAATATAATCCACTGTATGACAGCAAATTAAATGACAGACAAAACAGGCAAATTCCTAGAAAGACAAATAGTAAAAATGTGCACATGTGGCATGCCTACAGAGAAACACTTTGAGTTTCCAGGGTTTCAGAACACAAAAGTGGCTACAAAGTGTTTATTTGGGTGAGATTAATGTATGTCAAGCGCTGCGTGACTCAAGAAACTCCAAACTTATTTTTCAGACTTTTGGAAAAAGCAGTGAGAAAGAGAAAGTAGATCCTTAAATATGATTTCTCTGTATTTTCTCTGGCCATATCTCCCTGATAAACTGCTCTTTGACTTTATGAAAGGCCATTAGTTTGTAGATGATTTGCTTCTAAAACTCACTATAGTAATATAAACCAGGGACAGGAAAATTGCTTTATTTATGTCCTATATGAGTAGACCTTTGTTTTTTCCATTTCAGACTTTAGTAAGCCATGTCTTGTGAATTCTCATAAGGATATTCTTCTCTCCTACACTCAATACTGCTTTTGGGATAGTTTTTGAAATGGTAAGTAGCATATAGAGCTAAACACTTACTAACATCCTGACTACAAAATATATTCCTTTTCAATATGTATTCCAGTATGTGAGAAAACTCATCTATTTGGTACCATAATATTGCAAATATTTTCACCCAGTTTTTTGTTTTTTTTTTGTTTTTTTTTTTTTTTTTTTGATTTGGGAAAAAGTTATTAAGTTAGCTCCCGGTAATTATCAACATGGGGTAGAGTGGCTTTATTTTCTAGGACTTTTAGTTTTGTTTTCTAAAATTAACTAGTCCATATCAAATAAGTACAAACACCATCATAGCACTGTATTAGTCACTGTGGGGGAAGCAAAGATGTGTTAAGATTTTTTTTTTTTTTAAAGATCTTGAACATAAAGAATTTATAACCATCATTTTACCCATTCCACCCATACCATTCTTGGTTAAACCTTTCTCATCAGTTACTTATGTTTTCTCTAACTATATTCCTCATGCATACTCTAGTCCAATATTTGCTTTGCAAATGTCTCCCAGTCTGTGTGTTGTATTTCATTTAAAGGGGTTCTCTTGCAGAGAACTTTTAAAATTGTATTAAAAAAACTTAAATAGAAGGCTGAAGATTTTGAGCTTATTACTAGACCAACATTTCTTGAGGACTTCCAAGGAGCCAGCTTTCTGCATAGCATTACTTCCATCACTGATTTTAGCTGCTTGTAACATTTCTGTGAAATAAGCATCCCTTCCTCTCTTAAAAAGGAGGAAACTGATGCCCTGGAGATCCAGTGAACTGTATGCATAAGTTGTATTGTATTGTTCCAGTGGGCTCCACTGTTATACTATATTATACAGTTTTGCCATTGACTTATTTTTTTGGGGGGGGTGATGTCACTATATTCATGGGAGATCTAGACATTTTAGGGCTTCATGAATGACTCTGTAATTAGAAACTTCCACTTCGGAGGTGGGGCAAGTAGGGGTCCTCGACTCATCCGGCCCCAACTTACCTAGATAACTTTCAAACTAACCTGAACACCTACGAATTCGACCTGAGATTTAAAGAGAGAACAGCTGGAGAGAACAGAGAGAAACGTTTTCACTTCTAACAAGGTAAGAAGGCAGAAAAATAAAATAAAATAAAAAAGAATCAAGTGGGTTGAGGGGCCCCGTGAGGAGCCGGGCTATGGCCTGGCAGAGAAAGTCTCCTGGACAGGAAAGCCCAGGCCCGGAGAAGGGGGGACTTTAAAAACCCACACCAGAAACAAAGGGCTTAGCACGGAACCTGGGCAGCACCGCAGGAGGGGCAGTAGAGCCCCCAGGTTCCCGGGGTCACTAACAGAGGAGGTGCGCCCGGGGGAGAGCTCGCCATACCCCACGGGCCCAGCGCCGTGAAGGGTGGAGCCACGCCTGGTGGGGCCTCAGGAGCAGTTCGGAGGCGGCTCGGGCGGAGGGGGCTGCGCGCCCCAGGAGCCGATTCCAGCAGCGCAGACCCCGGAGCCCAGGGTGCTGGGGACACAGCCCAGGATCCTGCTCTCCCCCTGGGACAGGCGGAAGCAGGGACCGCCCAGAACAGTGAGGACGCTCCTGCTGCCAGGCGCCCCCGAGCTGTGCAGATGGTGCCCTCCCGCCTCGAGCATCCAGGCCCCTGTGGACTGGGAGCAGCGGTAGTAACTGCGGGAGCTGACTCCAGGGCTGGAGAGCTGGCCGCCACCAGTATGCTTGTTCCTCCTGGTGTCACCCTGTGCCTGGGAGAGGCAGGGCGACCAGGGGACAGAGGCCTCCTGGGGTAAACAGCTCCAACTGAGCCCGGCACCTGGCAGGGGTGGGGCAGCTCCCCCAGGTGCACACACCTGAGAGCACAGCAGGCCCCTCCCCCAGAACACCAGCTGGAAGGACAGGGGAAGAGCAAGTTCTTGACTGAGCAGTGCTGGAAAGCTCCAGGGGAAGTCGAGGGATTTACTGTATATAGAACCAGAGGGTACCCCTCCTTATTTTTTCTTCCTTTTTCCAGTACAACTCATTTTTATCTCAGACTGTAAATATCCAATTTTTTCTTTTTCCACCTAAACTACATTATTTTACCACCTCTTCATTTTTTAAGTTTCTTCTTTTTTGACTTTCATATTTCTACAATTACAGGTCTTAGATATATTTTCTACTTCTAGATTCCCTTCAACATACTCAACTTAATTTTGGGGGAGATATACAAGATATATTTTTGTTTTGTTTTGTGTTTTTTATTTTTTCTGCCTCATTTTGTTCTACAATGGTGGAAGTAATACCCTCTAAAACATGACGAGCATGCACAACCAAGTGGTACACTGTGCTGGTTCATTCTGTGAGATTCCTCATTCCCATTATTCCCCCCTCTTTTATCTCATTTATGTTTTGGGGGTCAATGGCGGGGCTCTCTACAAGTATTTCTGGTTTATATAAATTTCGAACTGAGCATCTTCTAACATACAGAACTTAATATACTCAGAACCAAGAGGCTCACCCTCCAGGATCCCTCAGGTAGACTACATTCTCCCTCCACTACAACTTCATCACCACCACCATCTCCGAGTAGCTGCCCTTTTTCTTCTCTTTTTTTTCTTTTGTCTTCTTTACTTTTGCTTTTTTCTCTTTTCTTTTCTTTTCTTTTCTTTTCTTTTCTTTTTTCTTCTTCATTGGGATTCTTGGCCTTTTAGTTTTTAAAACCTTGTTTTAAAATTTGTTTTTCACTTTAGTGGTTGCTTTGTTTTATTTCGTTCTGATCTTTGTTTTAATTTCTGGTCTCTGAACTCAGCAGCATCATCTAGGATGGAATTTACTTAGGTTGTAATTGATATTCTTGACTCAACCCACTCATACAGCCACTCTGCACTGAGCAAAATGACTGGCAAAAAGAACTCACCATAAAAGAAAGAATCAGAAACAGTACTCTCTGCCACAGAGTTACAGAATTTGGATTAGAATTTGATCTCAGAAAGCCAATTCAGAAGCACAATTATAAAGCTACTGGTGGCTCTAGAAAAAAGCATAAAGGATTCAAGAGACTTCGTGACTGCAGAATTTAGATCTAATCAGGCCAAAATTAAAAATCAATTAAATGGGATGCAATCCAAACTGGAGGTCCTAATGACGAGGGTTAATGAGGTAGAAGGAAGAGTGAGCGACAGGAAGTTGATGACAAGGAAGGAAGCTAAGGAAAAAAGAGAAAAACAATTAAAAGACCACGAGGAAAGGTTAAGGGAAATAAATGATAGCCTCAGAAGGAAAAATTTACGTTTAATTGGGGTTACAGAAAGCACCAATAGGGCCAGAGGGCCAGAAAGCATATTTGAACAAATCATAGCTGAGAACTTCCCCAATTTAGGGAGGGAGACAGGCATTCAGATCCAGGAGATAGAGAGCCCTCCCCCCAAATCAATAAAAAACGTTCAACACCTGGACATTTAATAGTGAAACTTGCAAATTCCAAAGATAAAGAGAAAATCCTTAAAGCAGCAAGAGACAAGATATCCCTAATTTATATGGTGAGAAGTATTAGATTAACAGCAGACCTCTCCACAGAGACCTGGCAGGCCAGAAAAGGCTGGCAGGATATATTTAGGGTCCTAAATGAGAAGAACATGCAGCCAAGAATACTACATCCAGCAAGGAATTCATTCAGAATAGAAGGAGAGATAAAGAGCTTCCAAGATAGACAGAAACTGAAAGAATATGTGACCACCAAACCAGCTCTGCAAGAAATATTAAGGGGGACCTTGTAAAAAAAAGAGGAAACCCAAAGAAATAATCCACAAAAACAGGAACTGAACAGGTATTACAATGACACTAAACTCATATCTTTCAATAGTAACTCTGAATGTGAATGGGCTAAATGACCCCATCAAAAAAATGCAGCGTTTCAGACTGGATAAAAGAGCAAGACCCATCCATTGCTGTCTACAAGAGATTGATTTGAGACCTAAGGACACCTCCAGCCTGCAAATGAAAGGTTGGAGAACCATTTATCATTCTAACAGTCCTCAAAAGAAAGCTGGGGTAGCCATCCTCATATCAGATAAATTAAAGTTTATCCCAAAGACTGTAATAATAGATGAAGAGGAACACTATATCATCATAAAGGGTCTATCCAAAAAGAAGACCTAACAATCATGAATATTTGTGCCCCTAATGTGGGAGCTGCCAAGTATATCAATTAATAACCAAAGTAAAGACATATTTAGATATTAATACACTAATAGGAGGAGACTTTAACATGGCACTTTCTGCAAATGACAGATATTCTAAGCACATCACCAAAGAAACAAGAGCTTTAAATGATACACTGGACCAGATGGATTTCACAGATATATACAGAACTTTGCATCCGGACGCAACTGAATACACATTCTTTTCAAGTGCACATGGAACTTTCTCCAGAATAGAGCACATACTGGGTCACAAATCAAGTCTCAACCAATACCAAAAGCCTGGGATTGTCCCCTGCATATTTTCGGACCATGCTTTGAAACCTGAACTCAATCACAAGAAGAAATTTGGAAGAAACTCAAACACGTGGAGATTAAAGAGCATCCTGTTAAAAGATGAATGGGTCAACCAGGGAATTAGAGAAGAATTAAAAAGATTTGGACACAAATGAAAATGAAGATACAGTCATTCAAAATCTTTGGGATACAGCAAAAGCAGTCCTAAGAGGGAAATAATGGCAATAGAAGCATCCCTCAAAAAATTGGAAAAAACTCAAATACACAAGCTAACCTTGCACCTAAAGGAACTGGAGAAAGAACAGCAAATAAAACCTCCATCAAGCAGAAGAAAAGAATTAATAAAGACTTGAGCAGAACTTAATGAAATAGAGACCAGAAGAACTGTAGAACAGATCAACAAAACCAGGAGTTGGTTCTTTGAAAGAATTAAGATAGATAAACCATTAGCCAGCCTTATTAAAAAGAAAAAAGCCTCAAATAAATAAAATCACGAATGAAAAATGAGAGATCACAACCAATACCAAGGAAATACAAATGATTTAAAAAAGTATTATGAGCAGCTATACACCAATATATTAGATAATCTAGAAGAAATGGATTCATTTCTGGAAAAACACAAATTACCAAAACTGGAACAGGAAGAAATAGAAAACCTGAACAGGGCAATAACCAGTGAGGACACTGAAGCAGTCATCAAAAATCTCCCAAGACACAAAGGTCCAGGGCCAGATGGCTTCCCTGGGGAATTCTATCAAACCTTTAAAGAAGAAATAATACCTATTCTACTAAAGCTGTTCTGAAGGATAGAAAGGGATGGAATACTTCCAAACTTGTTCTAGGAGGCCAGCATCACCTTAATTCCAAAACCAGACAAAGACCCCACCAAAAAGGAGAATTCTAGACCAATGTCCCTGGTGAACACAGATGCAAAAATTCTCAACAAGATACTAGCCAATAGGATACAACAATACATTAAGAAGGTTATTCACCATGATCAAATGGGATTTATCCCTGGGATGCAAGGCTGGTTCAACACTCGTAAAGCAATCAATGTGATTGATCATATCAAAAAGAGAAAAAACAAGAACCATATGATCCTCCCAAAAGATGCAGAGAAAGCATTTGACAAAATACAGCATCCATTCCTGATCAAAACTCTTCAGAGTGTGGGGATAGAGGGAACATTCTTCAGCGTTTTACAAGCCATCTATAAAAACCTTACAACAAATATCATTCTCAAAGGGGAAATACTGAGAGCCTTTCCCCTAAGATCAGGAACACGACAGGAATATCCACTCTCACCACTGCTATTCAACATAGTACTGGAAGTCCTAGCCTCAGCAATCAGGCAACAAAAAGAAATAAAAGGCATTCAAATTGGCAAAGAAGAAGTCAAATTCTCCCTCTTCACAGATGACATGATACTGTACATAGAAAACCCAAAAGACTCCACCCAAGATTGCTAGAACTCACAACAATTCGGCAGGGTGGCAGGATACAAAATCAATGCCCAGAAGTCAGTGGCATTTCTATACACTAACAATGAGACTGAAGAAAGAGAAATTAAGGAGTCAATCCCATTTATGATTGCACCCCAAAACATAATATACCTAGGAATAAACCTAACCAAAG